GGGGGAGTGGGAGATGGAGAAGCAGGTTCCGCAGGAGCCCGATGCAGGGCTCGATTCCAGGACCCTGGGATCATGACTTGAGCCGAAGGCAGACGCTTAATGACTGAGCCACCCAGGAGCCCCTGTTTATAAAACTTTTAGACTAAGAAGAATGAATATAAGTTTGGATTGGCTCAAACTTGTCAATATTGTTGTACTTAGAAGATTTACTTAGCAGTAATATTTTGAGTATACGGGAATGGTTTTAACATAGGTAGGTAAATTGAAACCTTGACCCAAATATGGCCTACATTCAATGAGATTGAGATGCCAGAATCTTCTTGGCATACTATAGAGGAAGAAATCCAAAGGCTAATGTTGCTAAAGTTGACTTCTCTTATGTAGCCTGCCTATTATGAACCTTTACCATATCCTCCCAGAAGGCCCAGATGATACTTTCTTGAGAAATACATTAATGTGGGGGAGCATTAGCATCTCTAAAAAGCTGTTTGGTAGCTGTCCTCTGTAGGCTGAAGATGATGATAGTAGACACTGCCATTGAAATTATGGGATTCCAGAGTGATAGAAGACAGTGTTTAACTGTCAGAGACAAGGTCTACTGGTCAAAGTCTGTGCTTATAGATATCATAGATAAATGGTATTTTGACTCAATGCCCAAGATCAAAGTCCATAATATAATGGGCTCATTTTGTCTAGGACTCACACTATGGCTATTTACCTACTTAATGTATAATTGGAATTACCACAATGAACAGCAAAGAACTAGAGTGGCTATCTGAAAATTTTGACCCACATGGATTTTCTGTGGTGATAGTGGTTTCCTTAGAGGTTAAATACATAGGATGTCTACCAAATTATCACTAAAGTTATTTACAGAAAATCTCTAACTATGGGGCCAGAAACATGAGTTGAGACACCTCAGTGGAGAATCTTGGCTTCTTATCCAGTTTCCATACAATTTACACGCCCAGAATTCTTTGATTTAGAACAGGAGGCTGGCTCTCTTGAGGAAGAATCCTCAAGATTGCCTCAAGCATATACAGTAGATCTTACTCCAAGTGTTCCTCAAAAGACCTATAGCCATTTACTAGGGTGGAAAACACTGGAAAGAGGGAAATATCCCAGACTTTCTGAGATTACCAGACACTGACTCCAAGTTAATACTAATCCCTAGAATCTCAAAATGCCCCAGTGGACCACTGGTTAAAATTAGAGTTTATGGCTAACAGGTGATAAATGCTATTTTGGTCTCCCAATTAATCTGTGTCTTTAGCTATGTTTATTTCTGGTTCCTGAATGTATAATTGGAATAGACATCTTCAGCAACTGGCAGGATCCTCACAAATTGGAGGCTGAAGGCTATCATGGTAGGAAGGACCAAATAGAAACTCCTGAACTTTCTCTTCTCTGTCTGCCAGAATTTACCATTTGGTAAATTTACCATTTACCAAACAAACAAACAAACAAACAAACCCAAAACAATTCCACAGAAATTAGACATAAAAATATATGAATGATGTGAAGGATACAGAAGAAGTAACATTATCACATTCTTGTCTGATTCTCCTCTTTCGCCTATGCAGAAGATAGATCTTAAAGAATGTTTGTAGGTTACTATGACTCCATTTGCAGTTGTTCTTCACCATGTGGAATCTTTATTGAACCAAACTGACACAGCCCCTCACTCACAACTATTGGATTGTCAAATACTGTTTTCTCCAGAGCAGTTTACAAGGACAAACAGAAGTTTGACTTTACCTGTCAGCACTATACTTTTATGCCTTACCATAGAAGTAAGACAGCCCTTTTTCTTTCTATTATAATCTAGTATGCAGACATCTCACAGAATGTCAGATCTACTACCTTGATGATTTCCATCATGGCAATTGGACCTGCTGAGCATGAAGAAGCGTTAGATGCCTTGGTACACCCATATGTGTCAGAGGGTAAAAGATAAAAACCATGTAAAATCAGGGTTTACTACCTTGGTGAAAGTTTTAGCAGTCCAGTAGTCTGAAGCATGACAGGATATCTCAAATACAAGGCAAATGTGCCACCTGCCACAAAGAAAGAGGCACAATGCTTATTGGACCTTTTTACATTCTAGGAACAACCTTTACTCTCATGTGCTGCTCTTCTACATTTATTGAGCTATCAGCTGCGAGAGTAAGTCCCAGAGCAAGAAAAAGCTTTGTAGACTTTGTAGGCTGCAGCACAAAAACTCTTCTTTACCTTATACCTTATCACCTAGATGATCCTACAGTATCTGAAGTGTCTGGGGCAAATTGGAATGTTATGGCAAGTTGTCATAGAAGAATTACAGTATAGGTTGCTTGAGTTATGGAGCAAAATCATGCCCTCTACTAGTGTTTTTTTTCTCCTTTGAGAAACAGCTCCTGTGTGTGATTATACTGTGATAAAAACCATTTGCTTATTATCTGTATACTTTTATGAATGTATGTTGTATTTTTTTAAAAGATTTCCTTTTTAAAAACTCTATGGAAATGAAGGTCCAAATATAGCAGAAACAGTTATAAAAAGAAGAACAAGTTGGGGAGGATTTCCCTGTGTTTTTTTAAAAATATTTTATTTATTTATTTAGACAGAGAGAGAAATCATGAGCAGAGAGAGAGGGAGAGAATCCACTGAGCATGGAGCTGGTCCTGGGGCTCGATCCCATGACCCTGAGATCATGACCTGAGCCGAAATCAGGAGTCAGGCGCTTAACCAACTGAGCCACCCAGGCGCCCTGATTTCCCTGATTTTTTAAAAATAAAGCTATATTAACAGAGTATTGGGCCTGGCATCAGATTTATGAGTATGTGAGAACTTAGTGCATAGCATAGGTAGCAAATAATTCGGTGAGAAGAGACTAATCAATAAATGCTAAGTTAGGACAGTTGGGAAGAAATTAAAATTAGGTTTGAGCCTCAATAATGAGCAAAAATAAGTCCTATCTAATCAAAGACCTGGATGTGGAGAACAAAATTATAAAAGTTTTAGAAGCACATATAGAGCATGACTTTTGACCTTGGTATAGGTAATATTTCTTAAAGAATACCTCAATAAGCACAAACCATACAAGAAATAATTGATACATTTGGCTACCTCAAAATTAAAAACATTGATATGACTAAACTCACCAAAAGTTAAATTAAAAAATAAGAGATTTGGGGCACCTGGGTGGCTCAGTCGGTTAAGCGTCTGTCTTCGGCTCAGGTCGTGATCCCAGGGTCCTGGGATCGAGCCCCGCATCGGGCTCCCTGCTCAGCGGGAGGCCTGCTTCTCCCTCTCCCACTCCGTCTGCTTGTGTTCCCTCTCTCGCTGTGTCTCTCTCTGTCAAATAAATAAATAAAATCTTTAAAAAAAGATAAGAGATTAAACTGGGAAAGTGTATTTACTGTATAGATAACAGAATGATCATTATCAAAACTTTACAAATTAATAAGAAAGAGACAACTCTTCCCAACTGAAGAAAGGAAAAGGACATAAAAAACCCTTCCATAGATGAGGAAACACAAATACATAATAAACATATGAAAATATATTTAATCTCACTAATTATCAGGGAAATGCAAATTAAAATAACCAGATACCATTTTTAACCCATCAGATTGGGAAAAATCATGAACTCTAATAGTATCAAGTATTGGCATGGATATGGAGAAATGATATTCTCATTCAATAATAGTGAGAAGTAAATTGGTATAGGTATTTTGTGGAGCAATTTGGCAATAACTACTAAAGCTGAAAATACTCATAGTAGGGATGCCTGGGTGGCTCAGTCGGTTGGGCATCTGCCTTCAGCTCAGGTCATGATCCCAGGGTCCTGGGATCGAGCCCCACATTGGGCTCCTTGCTCAGCAGGGAGCCTGCTTCTCCCTCTGCCTGATGCTCCCCCTGCTTGTGCTCTCTCTCTCTCTCTGATAAATAAATAAAATCTTAAATGATATGCTATATGCTGGCTAACTGAACATAATTTAAAAATGCTCATAGTATACAATCCATTAATTAACACTTTTAATTATTACCCTAGGGAAATGTTTATACATGTATGCAAGGAATGTGTATAAGCATATCCACTGCAGCATTATTTTGGTATCTAAACACTGGAAATAATCTAAATACCCATCAATAAAGGGACTTTTAAAAAAAGTTACAGTGTTTTTGGGGTACCTGGGTGGCTCAGTTGGTTAAGCAGCCAACTCTTGATTTCCACTCAGGTCATGATCTCAGGGTCCTAGGACTAAGCTCCACACTGGGTGGGGAGTCTGCTTCAGGATTCTCTCTCCCTCTCCCTTTGCCCCTACCCCCTCAAATAAATAAATAAATCTTAAAAAATGTTTTTTAAATTACAGTGTTTTCATATTATAGAATACCATACAGCAGCTAAAAGGAATAAAATATATTTCTTTACATATATGAATTGATCTCAATGTTGAGTAAATAAAAGCAATTTTAAGAAGTACATATGTACTATGATATCATATGTTTTTAAAGTCATTAAACATATGCAAAATATTAACAATAATCATTTCTGGATGTTGGGAACACAAGTGTTAGTTTTATCATTTTCTCTATTTTTCTGTAGTTAAAATGTTTCTCAAAAATGATGCAAAAAAGAACAAGTAGGGAGTGGTTAAGTGTTTCAAGTGCCATATTCAGGTCTAATTAGATAAAAACTGAGCATTATACATTGGATTTAGCCAGTAACTATTATTAAGTCAGTAACTTAATTAAGCATCTACTAAGTGCAAGGTAAGTAACTATTAAGTCAGTAACTATTATTAAGCATCTATTAAGTGCAAGGTATTTTGACTTGTCACAGCATGGGGAAGTAGAGTATAAGCCTAAAGGCAAGATACAGCTTTCATGATTTTGACTCTGTAGCTTTTATTTACATAATGATGGTAGTGGTGGTGACGATAAAAGCTTCAATAAACCATTTACATAAAAATCTCAAATCTCCTGTATCAACTAATTGCAAACTCTCTGCTTAGGTAGGGTTTTTGGATCGGCAGAGGACATTGGCCTTGCTGGAAACATTCTATGACCAAAGTTCAAAAACGCTTAGAAGTTTGCTGCGAAACCCAAGACAATGTAAGTGCCATTCAGAGGGAGTATGCTCAAACTAGAATGACGTAATATACTCCTATGATAAAAGTCATTGTATTCCCATGGAATCCCTTCACGTGATATCTCCCTTAGATCATGATAGCTGATCTAACTGTTCATTCCTCACAAAATTCACTCTTCATCACAACTAGATGTATTTTTCACTATAGTCCAATACTAAAAGTTGTCAAGTTAGAACTCAATTTTAAGTTCATTCAAATGAAGAGGTGCTTGAGTGGCAATCTGAATGTTTTGGAAATTAAGTTGGTAATGGTAATTCCAGTTTTAATGTCCAACTTAGAATTCTAAAATTTCTAAGAAAAATGTTTCCTTCTCCCAAGCATTTTTACTTCTCCACTTTTACTGAAATTATACAGTAAGATATCTTTTTTATATTACTACCAAAACAAGGAGGATTATGGGGGTTTTTTTGAGAGGGAGAAAGGGGGGAGGGGCCAAGGGAGAAGGAGAGAGAGAATCTTAAGCCGACTCCACGCCCAGCACAGAGCCTGATGTGGCACTTGATCTCACAACCCTGAGATCATGACCTGAGTTGAAATCAAGAGCCAGATGTTTAACCAACTGAGCCACCCAGATGCTCCATTTTTATTTTTTAAACAGAAAGCCTTTGAATGGATGGGTTTTCCAAAGAATGTCGATAATTTAGTTCTGTGTGAAAATAGTTGGACACTTAAAAATCTATGGGTGATATAGAGTAGTCCTGGACACCAGAGTTGTTTTGTTATTATTGTTGTTTTACTGTTTGAGTGGGATTCCAGTGAATGCTATCCAATCTTTCCCTAGAATTCTGAACCAGGTGTTCACATAAGTTGTGGAGGAAAAGAATTGAGGAATGAAGAAGAAAGAAAGGGAGAGAATAAGGAAGGGGGAGAAAATGAATATTAGGAAAACATAGCCCAGTGAATGATAGAGATTTGCTTTTATTTTGATATTGTAGATATTTAAAAGGTATTTGAGGTGGAAGACATGTGTCCTCTTCTTCATCCCTATGCTATGCTTGTTGTTGGAGGACCATAAATAGAGGATAAATTCTATTGTCTTGACAGTCTAAGCAACTCTCCAAGTAGAAAAGGAAGAATCATGCTATATCCAAAACCACACCTATTAGGAAGGGGTAATTTCTAACTTACAGTAGTGACCATCTTTTATGTTCCCTTGAATATCTTTTTTGCTTTTATTGTGTTGTAGGTAAAGGTAACTGTTATTTATTTAAAGCAATAGGCCTATGTTAAATTACTGTGATCAACACTGTATTGCATTAATTTACTAGCTCTGATTCTTCATTATAACATCAATTGTTTAGGGAAATTTTTTTTTTTTTCTGCATTAGGGCCATTCATTGAATTTGAAGAGATAGACTTGCCTGAGTTCTGGGGAGACATGGATAATCAGAAACATATTTATGAAGACTTTGACAAAGTGCTCTTAGAGATGAATGCATTACTTTCTGAAAAACATGCTAGCAAAACCCAAAGCAAGTTGTTAGAAACTCCAGAAGATCAACATAAACATGATGAACATAATGAATCAACACTGCCAGAAGAGCAGAGAGAGACGACTTCAGAACAAGAACCAAACAGAATTTCAACCGAAGAACAACAAGACAGAGAGTCAACTGGAGAAAAAGAACTATACAGAGAATCAGTAACAGAACAAGAAACCCACACAGGGTCAACTCCAGAACAAGGATCAAGTAGAGAGTTAATAGAACAAAGACCACATGGTGACTCAGTCATAGAACAAGGGCCACCACAAAGAGTGTCATCTTCAGAACAAGGAGTCAACATGGAATCAACTGCAGAACAAGGACTCTACAGAGAATCAATATCAGCACAAGGACAACACAAAGGGTCAACAGCAGAACAAGGATCACACAGAGAGTCAGTAGCAGAACAAGGATCACACAAAGGGTCAGCTGCAGAACAAGAACCATCCAGAGAGATAATTCCAGAAAAACAACAGGATTCAACTTTACAATCAGAAAGAGGTAGTATCTTCAGAGAAAGTAAAATGTCTAGGGAGGCTACTTCCTATGAGTACACTGAAATCTCCCCATGGGAAGAGAAGACTCAGGAGCAAATATATGAAGAGGAACTATCTGTGAGTCCTGAACTGCAAGAGGAAGTCCCAACGTCAAGAAGAAAAGATCATCTTTCAGGTAGTAACGCATTTCACCTATGACATCAGCTTCATGTTTGTGGAGTGATTGTTTAAGTCTTTTCAGAAAATACTCATTCCAATTAGGATCTTTTCTGGCATACCAGATCATTCAAACCTTAGATATTTTGCTACGCAACATGTGTCCAGGCCTTGAACAATCAATTAAATACAAACCAGAATGTTTCTATTGTCAATTTACCTCGAATTCCTTTTGCACGGGAAGCCCATTCATAAGGAAGCAATCTGGTAATATTATCTATATAGAAATATAGAAAATTTCACTGGACTCCTGAAAAGGCAGTAGAAGCCCTTTCGGAGTTTTGTTTTGTTTTTTAAGATTTTATTTATTTATTTGAGAGAGAGAGAAAGCGGGAAGAGACGCAGAGGAACAGGGACAAGTAGACTCTGTGCTGAGCACAGAGCCCAATGCGGGGCCCAATCCCAGGACCCTGAGATATGACCTGAGCCAAAAACAAGAATCGGTCGATTAACCGACTGAGCCACCCAGGGGCCCTAGAAGCCTTTTCATTTTAAATGTGGTGCTGTCTAATATTAGAAGCCACTTTTTAAAATGTCTTTTATTTCAACTATAAACTGGATCTTGCATTTTTTAGTTATATAAGATGTGTGTTCTAGAAGAGTTTCTGAAAGTTATATTTAAGACAGAAAACACTCTGCATGTCAAATATTTATTCTGCAGAAGACTTTTCCTCTGAATTGCCTATGCCAATGTATGCCTTTTTGTTGAAAGATTCGAGCTTCTTAGAAAGCCAGTCTCAATACCACTTAAGACCTCAGTTAGGCATAAATATTTTAAAGTTCTGCTCTTTAATTTTAAGGACCCACAGTCCCAAAGAAAATCCTTATTCAAAACTCCTAAGACATGAGTAACCTGTGTTCTAGATTCTACATTATCAGTAACTAAATTGAAATATCTCATTTTTTCAGCATTATGATTGGTTGTCCATAAAATAGGGCTATTAATTTTTTGGCTCTCCATACATAGTAGGGATGCAGCTAGGAAAATCGTTAAGTTACTATTCAATCAGTTGTTATTAGTAAGGATTTAATTTTGTTAGGTGTAACAGTGATCCAAAATGACAGTGTCTTAAAAAAAACATAAACAAAACCAAAACAAAATAACAATGTCTAAACAACATAGGAGTTTCTTTCCTTTTGATATAAAAGTTAAAACTTATATGACAGTTCAGTCCCATGAACTCAGCAGTGGCTCAAGTTCTATCTTGTGTCCCCTCTAACCACATAGTCCTGGATGACTCACTACCGTGTCCATATTCTAACCAAAAGGTAAGGAGAAAAAAGAAGGGGTAGCGATGTTTATAGCAGCAATGTCCACAATAGCCAAACTGTGGAAAGAGCCAAGATGTCCATCGACAGATGAATGGATAAAGAAGATGTGGTATATATATACAATGGAATATTATGCAGCCATCAAAAGGAATGAGATCTTGCCATTTGCAACGACGTGGATGGAACTGGAGGGTATTATGTTGAGTGAAATAAGTCAAACAGAGAAAGACATGTATCATATGATCTCACTGATATGAGGAATTCTTAATCGCAGGAAACAAACTGAGTGTTGTTGGAGTGGGGGGTGGGGTGGGAGGGATGGGGGGACTGGGTGATAGACACTGGGGAGTGTATGTGCTCTGGTAAGAGCTGTGAATTGTGCAAGACTGTTGAATCTCAGATCTGTACCTCTGAAACAAATAATGCAATATATGTTAAGAAAAAAAAAAAAAGAAGAAGAAGAAGAAGAAGAAGAAGGTAGCGGGAGGGGAAGAATGAAGCGGGGGAAATCGGAGGGGTAGACGAACCATGAGAGACGATGGACTCTGAAAAACAAACAGGGTTCTAGAGGGGAGGGGGGTGGGAGGATGGGTTAGCCTGGTGGTGGGTATTTAGGAGGGCACATTCTGCATGGAGCACTGGGTGTTGTGCACAAACAATGAATCATGGAACACTTCATCTAAAACTAATGTTGTAATGTAAGGGGATTAACATAAGAATAAAAAAATTAAAAAAAAAAAAAAAAAGAAGGGGTAGGCATTACATCACTTGCCCACACATCACATTGGTCAGAATTTAGGCATTTGGTGACATCTAACTGTGACAGAGGCTAGGAAATGTAGCCCTCAGATTGAGTGGCCAAATTTGGGTACAACAAATAGCTTTTGTCATAGAGCTGCTCTCAACAACTAAAGTTATTAAGTGATATCATTGTGGTTGAATGTGACACAACATAAATGGGAAATAACCTGATAGAACGTTTTTGTTGTTCTATATGCAAGGCATTTTTCTCATTCATTAACTTAGGAATATACCATAGAATATATAAAGTCCAATTTATAGGCATTTTCTTTTTTTTCTTTCAAGTTTTTATTTAAATTCCAGTTCATTATAGCCACTTTCTTTTGTTCCTTTTAGAAACGACAAAAAAGGAAAGTCAGAAAGATCCATCCTGTGAAAAGTCCCAAGAAATAGAAGGAAAGTCATGGTCAGGTGACTCATTTAATCCTCCTTTCATTTATAATCTAGAACAAAAACATTATGAAAGTGAAATTAAATTGTCTGTGTTATGGAATGTATATTTTGTAGGCGAACTTTTGACTTGTAACTGGAAGATGAATTGTATCAAATGTGAAGATGAGGAACAAGCAAACTTACTCCTCGGTAACTCCAGGTTTACAGGTACATGTTAGCAACCAAACTAGGAAGACTAGATGGCAGTCCAATTGATGAATTTAATTTACTGTGCTACCCCATGATAAAAACTGAACTTAGCCAAGACATGATGGCAGGGTGATCCTTGCATTATTTTGTCCCTGAGCTGATGGATCTAAACATAGGCAAGATGAATGTTTTTGGTGGTAGTGTACATGTAGGCATGTGCTATTGAGGGATGCTTTTCTGCTTTAAAACATATGCATTAGTATACAATTTGTTTTTACCATTATATGGCCCTACAACCGCTTTGAAGCTATGATCCAGGTATACAAAGGGAATCAGATATCAGATATTAGAACTCAATAGAAATCAATCCAGGCTAATGGGTATTAAGGAGGGCACGTTCTGCATGGAGCACTGGGTGTTATGCACAAACAATGAATCATGGAACACTACATCAAAAACTAATGATGTAATGTATGGTGATTAACATAACAATAAAAAAGTCAAAAAAAGAAAGAAAGAAAGAAATCAGTCCAGCGATTCCTCTCCCTGGTAGTTCCATAACTCAACATGTGAGACAGGTTTGAATCTGTCTTGTTTTTAAAGACTTATAAACTAAGATCGACTTAACAGAGAGAGCAAAGAGTAGCTTTTAGCTCTCAGATAAACCATGTATTTAACAATGATTGTTCCAACAAGTACTCATATTTTACTGCAGTGCTATTTTATCATTTTATTTTCCACCAACAAGTAGAACTAATTATATTAAGATTATTTTCTTCCTCTGCAGATTTTTTTCTCATTTAAGCCTGGGTCAAATAACAAACTTTCTATCCTCAAAATACTTTGGTAAAAATGCATGGCATCGGTCAAGCTCCTGTGGCCTGCTAGTTCGTGTTCTTCTTCTCCTGGTCTTACTTCTTTTTTTAAAATTTATTTTAAAAGATTTTATTTATTTATTTGACAGAGAGAGAGAACACAAGTAGGCAGAGCGGCAGGCAGAGAGAGAGGGAGAAGCAGGCTCCCCGCTGAGCAGGGAGCCGGATGCAGGGCTTGATCCCAGGACCCTGGGATCATGACCTGAGCCGAAGGCAGATGCTTAACCGACTGAGCCACCTGGTCTTACTTCTTTATTTCAGTTTTGCTTTACCATTTAAAAAAACTGCATGGGTGATTATTTTTAGGTCATGTCAAATCTCATATGGAAGGCATGAGGGTGTGAATGATTGAATCGGTGAATAAATCAAACATAAGTCACTGGGCTGATATTTTATGAAATATACTTCATATTATAAGACTGGGCTCAAGATAAATATATTAGTCAAGACTCTTTGGGGGAGAGGTTGCTGTAGTATTTATAGATTTATTTAACTGTCAAATCCAAACCACAGCTGGCTTCAGGCACAAATGAATCCAAGGGCTCAATAACAGCAGTGAGACACTGTCTCTGCCTCTCAGCCCTGTTCCTCTCTGTGTAACTTTCAGTTTTAGGTCGTTTTCTCCATGTCGTGATAGAGATGTCCATAAGAGTATTGCTAAGCCTACAGCCTATGTTCAGGAATCAGAATGCTAAAAGAGTGATTCTTCCCCAGTAGTTCCCAAAAAGTTCTGGGGCTCATTCTCATTGGTATTTAGTGGATCACATTGCTGTCATATGGGAATCATTGGCCAGACCTATATCACATGGTCTTGTAGCAAAGGTGGGGGATGCTCAGTACCACCTGATTCATCTAAATCTATAAAGAACTTACCAAACTCAATACCCAAAAAACAAATAATCCAGTTAAGAAATGGGCAGAAGACATGAATAGACATTTTTCCAAAGAAGACATACAGATGGCCAACAGACACAGGAAAAGATGCTCAACCTCACTCCTCATCAGGGAAATATAAATCAAAACTACAATGAGATATCACCTCACACCTGTCAGAATGGCTACAATTAACAACACAGGAAACAACAGGTATTGGCGAGGATACAGAGAAAGGGGAACCATCTTACACTGTTAGTGGGAATGCAAACTGGTGCAGCCACTGTGGAGAACAGTATAGAGGTTCCTCAAAAAATTAAAAATAGAGCTACCCTACAACCCAGCAATTGCACTACTAGGTATTTACCCAAAGGATACAAAAATAATAATTCAAAGGGATACATGTACCTCGATGTTTATAGCAGCATTATCAACAATAGCCAAATTATGGCAAGAGCCCAACTGTCCGTCGATTGATGAATGGATAAGGAAGATGTAGTGTAGGGGTGCCTGGGTGGCTTAGTAGATTAAGTGTCCTGAGATGGAGCCCCGCATCTGGCTCTGTGCTCAGCGGGGAGTGTGCTTGTCTCTCTGCCTCTCCCTCTGCCCCTCCCCCCACTTGAGTTTTCTCTCTCTCTCTCTCTCTCTCTCTCAAATAAATAAATAAGATCTTTTTTAAAAAAAGAAAAGAAGATATAATATATTTACATATAATATATAAAATATATATAATGGAATATTACTCAGTCATTAAAAAAGAATGAAATCTTGTCCTTTGCAACGAAGTGAATGGAGCTAGAGTATATTATGCTAAGCGAAAAAGTGAAAGACAAATATCATATGATTTCATTCATATGTGGAATTCAAGAAACAAACAAGCAAAGGAGAAAAAATAAGACAGAGAGAGAGAGAGAGAAATAGACTCTATAATTATAGAGAACAAACTGATGGTTACCAGGGCAGAGATGGGGGTGGGGGGAATGGTTTAAACAGGTGATGGGGATTAAAGAGGGCACTTGTTGTGATGAGCACAGGGTGATGTATGGAAGTATTGAATCACTATATTGTACACCTGAAACTAATATCACACTATATGTTAACTAACTGGAATTTAAATAAAAACTTGAAACATAAAAAAATTAACATAAAAGAATGAGATGATAAATTAGATCTCATCAAATAAAACTTTTTTTCTTAAAACATGTCATTAAAGAAGTGCATATATAAGCCACAGATATGGAAAAAATACTTAAAATATTTGCAAGATTTATATCTGACAAAGGACTGCTATCCAGGAAATATTAAGATCTTCAACAACTCGGGCACCTGGGTGGCTTAGTTGGTTAAGCGACTGCCTTCGGCTCAGGTCATGATCCTGGAGTCCTGGGTTCGAGTCCCACATCAGGCTCCCTGCTCAGCAGGGAGTCTGCTTCTCCCTCTGGCCCTCCCCCCTCTCATGTGCTCTCTCCCTCTCTCATTCTCTCTCTCAAATAAATAAAAAAATCTTTAAAAAAAAAAATCTTCAACAACTCAAAAATAAAAATATAAACAACAATATAAATTAGCAGAACATGTTACTAGATGCTTCACAAATCAAACACATAAGAATGAGTAATGAACACATGAAAAAGTGTGCAATGTCATTAGTCATCATGAAAAACAGACTAACATTACAATGAGAAACCACTACATATGATCCGAATGGCTAAAATGAAAAAGACTGACAACACTGACTCTTGGCAAGATTGTGGAGAAACTGGAACTCTTCAGGATTGTTGGTGGGAGTTTAAAATGTTACAGTTACTTCAGAAAATATCTGTGTGTTGTAAAACCAAACACATATTTACCCATGATCCAGATATTCCAATCCCAGTTATTTATCCAATAGAGTTAAAAGCATGTTTACAACAACAACAGCAAAACATATATAAGAATATGTAAACCAGGTATATTTATAATAGCCTGAACTTTCTGGAAACATTCCAGGTATCTATCAGTAAGAGAATAAATAAAAATTGTGACATATTTATAAATCAAATATTACTCAGCCATAAAAATGAACTATTTGTACATGTGAAATGAAAATAAAAATATAAGCTGACAGTGGGGAAGAGATGTTTTCCTCATGAAGGGAGCGTGGGTTTCTGACAGGAAAAAAAGTAGCAGATGTTTATTACAATACGTACTTGTATATTTTCTCTAAGCTTTAAGAAATTGTTCACTTTACTGTTTGTTGTATGTTTCCTGCTTAATAGACCTACACTCAATTATCAGAAATATTCAGTCTTACAAGGAAGTAAAAGGTAGAAGTGCTTTCAATGGAGTTTCCTTAAATCTGCTCCAGTTTGTGCAACTTCTGGAGACATTTATTGGTGAAGATGCCCCCTTGAGTGTCAGTGAGACCCTCACATCCTTTTTTAAGCGGGGCTATGTTGAAACAGAAGAAGAGAAAATAAGTGGCTTAGAACAGGTGAGTAATATTATTTATCAATAAAACAGGTGGAGTCACTATTATTAATAAATCTCTCAACCTCAGTTGCTCCTAATGTGGCCCTTTAAAAATTTATAACCAAGGTACCCCTGGTGGCTCAGTTGGTTGAGCATCTGACTCTTGATCTCAACTCAGGTCTTGATCTCAGGGTCATGAGTTCAAGCCCTGCATTGGGCTCCACAAGGAGCGTGAAGTCTACTTAAAAAAGAAATAGGGCGCCTGGGTGGCTCAGTCGTTAGGCGTCTGCCTTCGGCTCAGGTCATGATCCCAGGGTCCTGGAATCGAGTCCCTCATCGGGCTCCTTGCTTAGTGGGGAGTCTGGTTCTCCCTCTCCTTCTGCCCCTGCTTGTGTCCCCTCTCTTGCTGTGTCCCTCTCTGTCAAATAAATAAAATCTTAAAAAAAAAGAAAGTTCCTTAAAAAAAGGTTTATAACCAAACTTACGCTTTATTTCAATGAGCATAGCCATTAAGTATTTTATTTTATTGTCAAATGTTCTGAGATCACACTCCAGAGAATTCATTCCCCTAATAATAACATGATTGCTGGTGGCAGGAGATGGTTTATTGTACAGCTTTCTTTTTCCTCCTCTGAAGCTTGAAGAGCAGATTCTGAGGAGTAGAAATGTGTATGTTCAAAAAATGTGTGTGTATGTACACTATCTGCTGTGTGAATGCATTTACTAATGCACATACCTAGGGGTACAATTATGATTTGTATATGTATTTTTATTCATGAAAATCCAGATGATACATGTTTCCTAAGAAGTCAGTACCTACTTGATGATAGATAAATGCATACACCTTAGCTGATATAAACAATTTATGTGCCCTTTTAGGAAATATATACATTACATTCACTGGACATATTCACTAATTTTAGCAGCCTTATGAGTCTTCTCAACCTAATTCTAGAATTGATATCCCTTTTGCCTCCTCAATTGCAATTTCCCCATTTAACCAAATGCTATATATTCACTTTCTTTTAGCAATTAAATCTATCTAGATAATAATTTAGTTACTATCTGACTGATATAATTAATCTAGTAAAAAATCTAAACGGTAAATAAAATCAATGTCAAGTTAGGTCAATGTTAAGTTATAAAAAATAATTTTTGAACACGGTCATTTTTTCATTGTTTGAACACTGCCCTTCATCCTCTTTCAATACACAGCATATCTCACCAAGAAGCCAGGTAGAGTATGCCATGTGTTTATCATATTCCTAAACAACCAGCGAGGGAGTGGAAAGGAAGGAATCAAAGACTCTTAAGGAGTGTAGCCCGTTTCCTAAGTTAATGTGCTTTAGTCCAATGCAGAGAATGCCTGTTTTTTTGTTTTGTTTTGTTTTTTGTTTTTGGTCTACGAGTGAAACAGAGAAATGGTATTTAGATGATTAAAATTAAATGCTTCATGTCTGCCTTCAGTTAAGGTCATGATTTCAGGGTCCTGGGATGGAGCCCTGCATCGGGCTCCCTGTTGGGCAGGGAATCTGCTTCTTCCTCTCCCTCTGCCCCTCCCCCCCTGCTCCTGCTCTCTCTTGCGCATGCTCATGTTCTCTCTCTCTCAAATAAATAAAATCTCTTTAAAAAATTAAATACTTCATTTTCCCATTAATATCATGCTTAGTCCCAGCTATTTTTATAAAGCTGTTTTTAGAAATAGTGCTGTGCTTTTTGGGGAAAAACATAGGTTGGCAGCTAGCACAATGGATAGTACGTCCTGTGCTTTGTTATCCTGTTTCTATCCTAGGCTAGACAAAATGCTTCCAGAGCCCGACGGGAACTTCTCCTAGAAGCCGTGTTTCACAAGTGGGACAGTGATGGCTCAGGCTTCCTGGATCTGAAGGAAGTTGATGAACTCTTGTACACATACAAGGAGGGAATGGAAAAAGAATCTATGAAGAAAGGTAAAAAGATAAGAATTTTCTTATTAAAGCTGTGGTAGGGCGCCTGGGTGGCTCAGTCGGTTGGGCGACTGCCTTCGGCTCAGGTCATGATCCTGGAGTCCCGGGATCGAGTCCCGCATCGGGCTCCCTGCTCGGCAGGGAGTCTGCTTCTCCCTCTGACCCTGCCCCCTCTCATGTGCTCTCTCTCATTCTCTCTCTCTCAAATAAATAAAATCTTAAAAAAAAAAAAAGCTGTGGTAACAACTTGGCTTCACATTTTCCAGTACTATGACATATATAGTTAAAACTCTGGTTCTGAAACCACAGGACAACACTTCACACCTATTAGTATGGCTATAATTTTTTTCAGCTTTATTGAGATATAATTAACATAGAACATCATGTAAGTTTAAGGTGTACAGTGTGTTGATTTGATATATTTATATACTGCAAAATGATTACCACAGTAGCATTAGTTAAACACTTTTACCACTTCACATAATTACCATTTCTTTTTTGTAGTGAGAACATTTAAGATCTACTCTCTTAGCAACTTTTACGTATATAATACAGTATTGTTAACTATAATCACCATGCTGTACATTAGATCCACAGAACTTATTCATCTTATAATAGAAGTTTATGCCCTTGGGGGCACCTGGGTGGCTCAGTTAAGCATCCAACTCTTAGTTTCTGCTCAAGTCATGATCTCAGAGTCATAGGAATGAGTCCTGGGTTGGGCTTTGTGCTCAGCGTGGAGTCTGCTTGAGATTCTCTCCCTCTCCCTTTGCCTCTCCCCCTGCTTGCACGTGCTCTCTCTCTCTCTCTCTCTCTCTAAAAATTAAAAACCTTAAAAAAAAAGATGTTTATACACTTTGACCAACATTCCCCCAAATCTCCCCCACCTCCAACCCCTAAGAACCACCATTTTATACTCTGAGTTTGGCTTTTTTAGATTTGACATATAAATGGTATCATACAGTATTTGTCTTTCTCTGTCTGATTTCACTCAGCATAATGGTTTCAAGATCCATCCACGGCAGCATTCCATCTTTTTCATGACTGAATACTATTCCTCTGTGTGTGTGTGTGTGTGTGTGTGTGTGAGAGAGAGAGAGAGAGAGAATCACATTTTATTTATCCATTCATTCATTGATGGACACTTGGGTTTTTTTTTCATATCTTGACTACTGTGAATAATTCTGCAATGAACACAGTGGTACAGATATCTCTTCAAGATAGTGATTTCATTTCTTTCCATTAGATACTCAGGAGTGGAATTGCTAGATAATATGGTAATTCTATTTTTAATGTTTTGAGGAATCTCCATACTGTTTTTCCTAGTGGTTATACCAATTTACATTCCCACCAGCAGTGCACAAGAGTTCCCTTTTCTCCACATCCTTGTCAACACTTGTTATCTCTTGTCTTTTTGGCACTAGCCATTCTGACAGGTGTGAGATGGTATCTCATTGTCGTTTTGATTTGCATTTCTCTAATTGTAAGTGATGATGAGCATCTTTTCATGCACCTTTTGGTCATTTGCATGTCTTTGGAAATATGTCTGTTCAGTTTTTTTGCCCATTTTTTAGTGTCTTGTTTTGTTTTTTGCTGTTTAGTTGTGTGAATTCCTTATAAATTTTGGATATTAACCCCTTGTCAGATATATGATTTGCAAGTATTTTCTCCTATTCCATAGGTTTCCTTTTCATTTTGTTGTTTGCCTCTTTTGTTGTGCAGAAACCTTTTAGTTTCAGGTATTCCCCCTTAAATTTACTTTTGCTTTTGTTGCTTATGTTGTATGGCTATAATTTTTTTTTATTATGTTATGTTAATCACCATACATTACATCATTAGTTTTTGATGTAGTGTTCCATGATTCATTGTTTGCATATATCACCCAGTGCTCCATTCAATACGTGCCCTCTTTAATACCCATCACCAGGCTAACCCATCCCCCCACCCCCCTCCCCTCCAGAACCCTCTGTTTGTTTCTCAGAGTCCATAGTCTCTCATGGTTCGTCTCCCCCTCCGATTTGCCCCCCTTCATTTTTCCCTTCCTACTATCTTCTTTTTTTTTTTTTTTTTTAACATATACTGTTTTATTTGTTTCAGAGGTACAGGTCTGTGATTCAACAGTCTTACACAATTCACAGCGCTCACCATAGCACATACCCTCCCCAATGTCTATCACCCAGCCACCCCATCCCTCCCACCCCCGACCACTCCAGCAACCCTCAGTTTGTTTCCTGAGATTAAGAATTCCTCATATCAGTGAGCTCATATGATACATGTCTTTCTCTCATTGACTTATTTCGCTCACATTAATACCCTCCAGTTCCATCCACGTCGTTGCAAATGGCAAGATTTCATTCCTTTTGATGGCTGCATAATATTCCATTGTATATATATACAACATCTTCTTTATCCATTCATCTGTTGATGGACATCTTGGCTCTTCCCATAGTTTGGCTATTGTGGACATTGCTCCTATAAACATCAGGGTGTATGCATCCCTTTGGATCCTTACTTTTATATCTTTGGGGTAAATACCCAGTAGTGCAATTGCTGGGTCATAAGGTAGCTCTATTTTCAACTTTTTGAGGAACCTCCATACTGTTTTCCAAAGTGGCTGCACCAGCTTGCATTCCCACCAACAGTGTAGGAGGGTTCCCCTTTCTCCACAGTCCTGTCAACATCTGTCATTTCCTGACTTGTTAATTTTAGCTATTCTGACTAGTATGAGGTGGTATCTCATTGAGGTTTTGATTTGGATTTCCCTGATGCCGAGCGATATTGAGCACTTTTTCATGTGTCTGTTGGCCATTTGGATGTCTTCTTTGGAAAAATGTCTGTTCATGTCTTCTGCCCATTTCTTGATTGGATTCTTTGTTCTTTGGGTGTTGAGTTTGATAAGTTCTTTATAGATTTTGGATACTAGCCCTTTATCTGATATGTCGTTTGCAAATATCTTCTCTCATTCTGTCAGTTGTCTTTTGGTTTTGTTGACTGTTTCCTTTGCTGTCCAAAAGCTTTTTTTTTTTTTTAAGATTTTATTTATTTATTTGACAGAGAGAGACACAGTGAGAGCAGGATCACAAGCAGGGGGAGAGGGAGAGGGAGAAACAGGCTTCCTGCAGAGCAGGGAGCCCGATGCGGGGCTTGATCCCAGGACCCTGGGATCATGACCTGAGCCAAAGGCAGATGCTTAACGACTGAGCCACCTAGGCGCCCCTGTCCAAAATCTTTTTATCTTGATGAAGTCCCAATAGTTCATTTTTGCCCTTGCTTCCCTTGCCTTTGGCGATGTTTCTAGGAAGAAGTTGCTGCGGCTGAGGACGAAGAGGTTGCTGCCTGTGTTCTCCTTTAGGATTTTGATGGACTCCTGTCTCTCATTTAGGTCTTTCAACCATTTTGAGTCTATTTTTGTGTGTGGTGTAAGGAAATGGTCCAGTTTCATTCTTTTGCATGTGACTGTCCAATTTTCCCAACACCATTTGTTGAAGAGACTGTCTTTTTTCCCTTGGACATTCTTTCCTGCTTTGTCCAAGATTAGTTGACCATAGAGTTGAGGGTCCATTTCTGGGCTCTCCATTCTGTTCCATTGATCTATGTGTCTGTTTTTGTGCCAGTACCATACTGTCTTGATGATGACAGCTTTGTAATAGAGCTGGAAGTCCAGAATTGTGATGCCGCCAGCTTTGCTTTTCTTTTTCAACATTCCTCTGGCTATGTGGGGTCTTTTCTGGTTTCATATGAATTTTAGGGTTATTTGTTCCATTTCTTTGAAAAAAGTGGATGGTATTTTGATGGGGATTGCATTGAATGTGTAGATTGCTTTAGGTAGCATTGACATCTTCACAATATTTGTTCTTCCAATCCATGAGCATGGAACGTTTTTCCATTTCTTTGTGTCTTCCTCAATTTCTTTCATGAGTATTTTATAGTTTTCGGAGTACAGATCCTTTGCCTCTTTGGTTAGATTTATTCCTAGGTATCTTATGGTTTTGGGTGCAATTGTAAATGGGATCGACTCCTTAATTTCTCTTTCTTCTGTCTTGTTGTTGGTGTATAGGAATGCCACTGATTTCTGTGCATTGATTTTATATCCTGCCACTTTACTGAATTCCTGTATGAGTTCTAGCACTTTTGGGGTGGAGTCTTTTGGGTTTTCCACATAAAGTATCATATCATCTGCAAAAAATGAGAGTTTGACTTCTTCTTTGCTGATTTGGATGCCTTTTATTTCTTTTTGTTGTCTGATTGCTGTGGCTAGGACTTCTAATACTATGTTAAATAGCAGTGGTGATAGTGGACATCCCTGCCGTGTTCCTGACCTTAGGGGGAAAGCTCTCAGTTTTTCCCCATTGAGAATGATATTCGCTGTGGGTTTTTCATAGATGGCTTTTATGATATTGAGGTATGTACCCTCTATGCCTATACTCTGTAGAGTTTTGATCAAGAAAGGATGCTGTACTTTGTCAAATGCTTTTTCTGCATCTATTGAGAGGATCATATGGTTCTTGTTTTTTCTTTTATTAATGTATTGTATCACATTGATTGATTTGCAGATGTTGAACCAACCTTGCGGCCCAGGGATACATCCCACTTGGTCGTGGTGAATAATCCTTTTAATGTACTGTTGGATCCTATTGGCTAGTATTTTGGTGAGAATTTTTGCATCCATATTCATCAAGGATATTGGTCTGTAATTCTCCTTTTTGATGGGGTCTTTGTCTGGTTTTGGGATCAAGGTAATGCTGGCCTCATAAAAGGAGTTTGGAAGTTTTCCTTCCATTTCTATTTTTTGTAACAGTTTCAGAAGAATAGGTATTAACTCTTCTTGAAATGTTTGGTAGAATTCCCCTGGGAAGCCATCTGGCCCTGGGCTTTTGTTTTTTGGGAGATTTTTGATGACTGCTTCAATTTCCTTAGTGGTTATAGGTCTGTTCAGGTTTTCTGTTTCTTCCTGGTTCAGTTTTGGTAGTTGATACATCTCTGGGAATGCATCCATTTCTTCC